CTTTAAAACTCTTTCAATATATCTTCATTTTTTAAATATGTGTTTAATAGGTGAATGTGTAGACATTGTTTTAAAATATACTTGATGCCTAAAATTATAATTCCTATCATAAAACAGACAGGGAATATTGTGGAGTAGGGTGAACATTTTTTAAATTAAGTGTAAAATAATTTTTCTGGCTGCCACAAACGGTACTACATGCCTGTATATATTTGTATATACTTTCTTTTTAATAGTTGAATTTTTTTTAATTTCTTCAGGTTTTTGTTTATTTCTTCCTCAAATGGACTTAACTTCTCCCATAGTTTTATTCATTACATCTGATGCTTAAGAATGATGCTTAGACTTTAAGCTATAACAGAGACCTAAACAATGTTGCTGGAATAGCTACCACGGGCAGTTTTAAACCTGTGGGGAGGAAAATAATTCACAGACAGATACTTTTGATTGAAACGAATACAAAATTATCTCACCAGCATGTCACTGTGTAGATAGAACGTTCTATCATTAAAATGATATTGTCCTATGGACCCGGTTTAACGATAGAATTCGTTCCGTGTATTCGTAATGTAGCAAAAGAAACACGGGCGATAACTTGTACTAGTGCATTTACTAGGAACAATCTAGAGAGTTCCGAATGTAAACATGGCAGGTAAATTTGAAGCGAGAGAAAAACGTTGAGAAAATTAATTGGATTTTCGTCTTTAGATGGATTATTTTCTGGGATAAAAGGCATAAGCAATCTCAGAAAGGTTTGTTTTGATTATTTTGGAAGTTATTTCCAGATTTCTTCAAAATCGTTTCGGAGCGGAACCACTCCGATTTGCTACATTGCAAGTATTAGACATATTCTAACTGTGGTGAGGGCTTGTACGGAGACACAGTTAGATTATTCTAACTAGTCACTGTGCAACAAAGTCGTCAGCATTTTATTTGTTCTTTGAACGCGTGAAACGTTTTGAATGGCACTCTTATCGATGAATTTTACAATAAACCAAGCTATCTTTGCAGATCTAGCTTTGTTACCTGCCAAGTTTGTTTTAAAACCGGAAGTAGGAGTTCATAAATTTGAAATCTCGATCCCGACTCAAATTTGATATCAGTAGGAAAAAAAAATGTTTTTTTTAATTTCTTTCTGAAAATGCGGTGGGTTTGTAAACCTGAAAATAAAATAAATCCTGGCCTTGAATATGTAATAAGATCATTGGCATATTAACCAGGAGCAAAGGATAAGATGTTCAAAGAATTCATGCATTTCACTATATAATCATTGGAGCCCCACCCTAAAACAAGAACCCCTGACCCAGGGGCCCTGAAATTCACAAATTGGGAAGAGGCAGTCTTATTCAACATAACTATGGACTTGGTTAGTTTATTTAATGCCCAGGAGTAGAGAAGAAGATTTTTAAAGAATTAATGTATTTTCACTATATAATCAATAAAGCCCCACCCTAGCACTAGAACCCCTGACCCTGGGACCATGAATTTCACAATTTTGGTAGAAGCCACCTTATTCAACATAACTATGTACTTGGTTAGTTTATTGAATGCCCAGGAGCAGAGAAGAAGATTCTCAAAGAATTTATGCATTTTCACCATGTAATCAATTTAGCCCTGCCTTAGTACTAGAACCCCTGACCCTGGGGCCATGAATTTTACAATTTTGGTAGAGGACTCAATACTGATTACAGTCATGCAAACAGTTTGACTGCTTGATGTCCAGGAGTAAAGAAGAAGATTTTTAAAGATTTCATTAATTTAACAGGTTTTTGCCCCACCCCTCAGGCCCCAGGGGGGCAGGGACCATGAAATTCACAATTTTTGTTCCCCTTCACCCATAGATGCTTTGTGCCAAATTTGGTTGAAATTGGTTGAGTGGTTGCAGAGAAGAAGCTGAAAATGTTCAATTGTTAACGCACGGCGCACGACGGACGACGGACGACGCACGACGACGGACGCAAACAGATAGCAATAGGTCACCTGAGTTTACTCAGGTGACCTAAAACTTGAAACATTATACTGAATGTTTCGACAAAAAACTTTGAAACATTATACTGAATGCTTCCACAAAAAACTTGAAACATTATGCTAAATGTTTCCTCAAAAACTTGAATTATCATAATGAATGTTTCGACACAAACTTTGAAACATTATTCTGAATGTTTAAGACAAATACTTTGAAATACTAATTATAATGAATATTTTCACAATGAGACACTGAATGTTTCTTCAAAAGTTTGAAATCTTATACTGAATGTTAGCACAAAAACAATGAAACATTGAACTGAATGTTTTCCCAAAATTTTGAAATAAAAGTACTTAATTATCAGGAAAACTTTTAATCATTATACTGAATGTTTCCCTCAAAACTTTAAACATTCACTAAAACCAAAACCAAACTATCCGATATTATACTGAATGTTTCCACAAATATTTGAACAATATATTGAATTGTTTCACAAGTATCTTGAACATATTCTTAATGTTCATACTAAAATGTTTTTAAACATTTTCTGAATTTCTCTACTTATTTATTTATTAAAATGCACATTATATTTTCTTCCTTTTTTCTTTTCTTTTTTTTTGATACCATGATACTATTGAAAATAGTACTGTTAGAATATTTCAAATGAAATATAGAAAACAAGTTTCTACTGCACATTGTTTAAGTGAAACAATATATTAAAAATATAATTGATTGCAAGGCTATAATGGAATATTGAAAACATTTCACTGATTCAGAATGATTGCATAATTTGTATTTCAAATATTGGATTTTTTTTAAAATACTGAACCATTTATCTCCCAATATTTCTACTTATAGCATAAAAAATTGATATATTGAATGTTTCAAAAACCACAAGGATTTTGCTGAACATAAAAATATATTAAACAATGCTGAGTCTTTCTTACAGGAATAATCCCCCTTAAGAATTATATGTAAGACCGCTAGTTAATAAACTTAATATGTCTTCAAATATATGGCAATTACCAAATGTTCCCTTTTTCAATTGCTGCAAAAAATGATTATCAACTTCATTGATATCTTTGAATCATTAGAGAAACTGTGTTCAGCATTCTGTAAATTGTTAACTGGATAAGTATGGTATTGTATGGAACAGTACACAACTCTTTATATAGCCTTGAGCTGAGCATAATTTAATTAAGGCTATATAATAATAATATAGAAGAGAAAATGGTGTACTGGTTTCATTTCTTTGAAAAGATGATAAAATGCACAATCAAAAGAACATTCCTCATACACTGTAAGCTGGATAGTGAATGGAGTTTACTGCAGATGGACTCCATCCGGAGCTAGGATCAGAGAGGATAGGAGAGACTCCCCAGAACCACCGGTGAGGCCAAAGTACAATCCACGATACTCCAGCTGACATCCCGTAACCCAATTGACCTCAACACAGATTCATAAAAAAAGCAAACATGTGTAGATCAGCGGACAGGTTAATTGACCGATAACCCCCTTGACACATTTTGTGCAGATAATCAATTGCTCTCTGTTTATTTTATTTTCTCAGATTTGCATACTGCATAATGCAGAAGATTAAAAATGCATTCAAATCGCAATGACACAACATACATTTCCCATAAGTAAAAAAAAAACAATGTTCTAATGATGGAACTATTATAAATGGCACACATAGAAATGCCTTAATTTAGTAATTATCATAATATACTATAGAAGAAAGTTTGATCTGCTGAAATGATTTAACACGTGCATGGGCACTAAAGAAAGTTTAATACTTGATTTAACACATGCATGTGTTTGTAACAAGCCAATATTTCGATGTGTAAACAATGATTCGATCACCCAACGAGGATAACACCGCCATAAACTATGCGTAAACATGCAGGTTCCATGATCAGGCAAGTTATTAACTTCAGTGTAAGCAGGATAAATAAAATTGCAGAATCAAACAGTCATATAAAATTCACAATTTTGATGCAGCTGCGGATTATTCAAATGGAACAATGACTGTAAATAGATTAAGTACGCATGATACGTAAGTGAGATTTCATTCGCCGAGACATCTGATAATTCTCTCCATGAAAAGAGGGTATCATAATCAGGGAAACGATACAAGTTAAAAATTAAATGGAAAATAATTTCGACATAAATGCTATTATTTCCATTGTAATGTTTCCAGATTTTATTTTTATTGGAACTGACACTCCGCCTCGTGAAGAGGGTAAAAAACTACAAACAATTAAAAAAGAATCATAAACATTTGACATACATATCATCTAGATTTACCAAAAAAACATAATTGACATTGACAATAATTTCTCGTACATGACTATAGATAAACAGACTGACATTTTGCTACAAATAATCCAGACATGTGAATTTAACAGTATCATAGGTATAAAACAATTCAAATATGTCCTAAACATTATTTTTCATGAAATTTTATGCATTTATATAATTACTTACTCCTGTGAGGCTAGGAAAAGATCAAGCACATGTTAAAATGCTGCTCCATTGACTTGGGCGGAAACATAAACAAAACGCATAGTAATGAAACCCGTACCGGAAAATTTCCGGATCGGGAACTTTACACTCCCCCTCTGATTTTGTCAAAAATCACTATAACAACAAAATTACCCTTGGCATTCATTATGTTCATGCACATGAAAATAAAATAACTGTTACGTAAAATGTTGATACATTGTACAGGTACATATGTAAAATAGTACATCAGTGACCAATGTGTATCTCACAAAGAGGACAAAAAGTAGAATGTTCACTCATCAACTTCCAACAAAAGAATAAGATCTGTCATTGGTCTTAAACACAAAACTTGTTTTCCATCCTTTACAATAGCTATTTCTACTTTTCTAACAAGTCCATCTTCACTTTCGAATGTTCGGCGCACAACTCCCATAGGCCATTCATTGCGAGGGGACTCATCTTTGAGAAGGATCACATCTCCAGGCTTGATATTCCTCGACTGTTCTGTCCACTTTTCACGTTTTTGCAATTAGTGCAAATATTCCGACTTCCACCGTCGCCAAAATTCTTCTGCCAAGACTTGAACATTTTTCCAAGATGACTTAAGAGCATCCTTTGTTCCAAGGGGTGGAAATGGCTCGACATCTGGGTAAGTCTTCATGGTAAGTAGCATCGAGGGTGTAAGTAGGTGTGGTGAGTCCGGATCACATGTCACATCCATCAGTGGTCTGTTGTTAACAATGGCGCATATTTCTGTCATGAGTGTTGTGAGTTCTTCATGTGTCAAGTCTCTACCTTGTCGTTGCAATAACATGGAATTCAGTATACGCTTGACTGTCCTAATAAGTCGTTCCCACACCCCTCCCATTTGTGGGGCATGAGGAGGATTAAACTTCCAAGTAGTGCGACAGTTCGAGAGAAAGTCTTGCACTGGTCCCTTCTCGATAAATTCTGCATTAATAGACAAATCTTCTGACGCTCCCACAAAATTGGTACCACGATCAGATCGGAATTGGGTCACGGGTCCACGTAATGCAACAAAACGTCTGAGCGCATTGATAAAAGACGAACTTGTGAGTTGTTCTATGATCTCAATGTGGATGGCTCTGGTCACTAGACAGGTGAATAATAGGCCCCATCGTTTCTGATTAGCACTTTCTCCTCTTGTGCGACGGAATGCCACCATCCACGGACCAAATGTATCAACGCCTACATATGAAAAGGGTGGACTTGGTTTGCAGCGATCCGCTGGAAGATCTGCCATCTTTTGTTGACTGAATTTACCCCGCAGCTTACGACACACCACACACTTGCTGATGAAAGAGGAAACTTTTCTCTTCAAACCAACAATCCAATATCCTGCCACACGCACAGCACCCTCTGTGAAATGGCGTCTCTGGTGAAATACTTCTGAATGAAAGTAACCAATAAGCAGGTGACTGACATGATGGTTTTTCGGTAAAATTATTGGGTTGCGCTGTTGCCCACTCAGTTCTGCATCATTCACTTTGTTCAGTCTCCCACCAACTCTAAGAACACCTTCACTGTCCAGCACAGGAGAGAGAGATAGGATGGTACTATTGTGTGGAATTCTGCCTGACTCTTTCATTTACTTCATTTCTTCCATATAACTGTCTCTTTGAACACACGCAATTATTGCCAGTTCACTGTCCCTTAACAACTGAGGATGATCAAATCTAGTACAGGAAGTCTCACTCCTTCCCAAGCGCGCGCGCGCGCGCGAGCCCAAGTACTCAACACGAGTAACTGTCCTAACCAGTCTGTTCTAGATGAAAATCTTGAGAAGCGGTCCGAAAAGCGGTTTGATGTTTTAGGGCAATCTTCTGTGTCCACTTCTTGCTTGCAGCTAGTGACTTCTGGTCGAACTTCAATGTCATGTTCGGGATTAACAAGTTCAAACTCTGACTTGGTAGTTATTTCAGGTGTCTCCTCTGGACCACAAAGCCATGCTGAATCTTCAAGTTGTGACGCATCAATGCTACGAGTCGCTACATCTGCAGGATTACATTCTGTTCTAACGTGATGCCATTGCGATGGTTGGCTAAAAAGACGAATTCTGCCAACACGATTAGCAACATAAATGTAAAACCTCCTTGTTTCATTGGAAATATATCCAAGCACAACTTGACTATCTGTAAAGAAGTGAAAGTTGTTCTGAGGAATCTTCAGTTGATCTCGCACATTTTCTGCGATCTCGGTGGCAAGTACAGCTGCACACAACTCTAAGCGAGGAATTGTGTGCCCATGTGATGGTGCAAGTTTTGCTTTACCTGTCAGAAAGCTGATGGTAGATTTTTTCTCATCACACAACTTGAGGTACGCAACTGCTGCCACTGCATTCTTTGACGCGTCCGCAAATACCAAAACCTCTCTATGAGTGGCATCCTCAAACGAGATATCACTGTACATTCTAGGTATGTGAAGAGTCTCAAGATAGCTTAAAGAGTTCATCCATGAGATCCATTTGTTGTACAGTGGTTCTGGTAATGGGTCGTCCCAATCAGTTTTACTGGTCACAGACATCATTTCACGAAGCAAGAGTTTTCCTTCAATAATAACAGGTTGTAAAAAGCCAATAGGGTCGAAGACACTGTTGATTACAGATAACAGTCCACGTCAAGTGTAAGACCTTTCAACAGAGCTGACTTTGAATGTAAAGGTGTCTGTATCTGTATTCCAAAGTAGGCCTAGACTTCTCTGAGTGGGAAGAGTAGCTGTTCCTAAATCAAGATCCTTTAAATCTTTTGCTAAGTCACCTTGGTCTAGCCCATTAAGCACCTCTCTGTTGTTTGACGCAAACTTATGGAGTCTTATTCTGCCGTTGTCATGTAAGGCTTGCTTTGTGCGAAGGACAAGGTCAACGGTGTGTTCAACAGTTCTACAGGATACCAATCCATCATCTACGTAGAAGCTCTGATAAGGTTCTGTACATCTTGGTCAGCAGTTTCTACAACTTTGCGGAATCCGTAATTGGCCACTGCTGGCGATGCAGTATTGCCAAATACATGTCTAGTCATTTGATAATCAACAAGGGGTTGATTGAAGTCATTGTTTTGGTGCCATATGAAACGCAAATAACACCGTTGTTCTTCTGGTACTTTGAAATTATAAAACATATGTTGTACGTCCATGGTAATGGCTACCTTTTCCTGACGGAATCGAAAAAGGATACCAACCAGACTGTTCAGCAAGTCAGGTCCTTGAAGAAGCACAGAATTCAATGACACATCTTGATATTTTGCCGACGAATCAAACACCACACGAATGCTCTCCGGCTTCTTCGGATGGAATACAGCGAACATTGGTAAGTACCATCGCTCAACATTAACAGGTAGTTTGGGAGCCAATTCTGCATGTTCATTCTGTAGAAGCTTCTCTACGAATTCGATGACTTGTTTTTTCTTTTCTGTGTTAGAGCGCAAGTTGGCATCAAACGACTTGGCTCTATGCAGGGCCATTGACCGGTTGTCTGGTAGAGGTTGTCTACCCTCCCGAAAGGGTAATGGCTCTTCCCAAAATCCGTCGCTAGATCTATGAAAACTTGACTCCATGAAGTGAAGAAACTTCTTGTCTTCTATTGAGAGGCCTGGTTTCTCATCACATGGTAGACGTGTAAAAATGTCACATTCTTTCACCAAGATCTCACTTTCACATGGAATCAAATGTGTGGCTCTTCCACTTGACAATATGGAGGTCTTCAGGCATTTACAGTCTCAGGTTGATGGATCTTACCGAGGCAAACGTTCCCAATTATCACCCAGCCGAGGGGCAGTTTTTGACCAAAAGGTAAGACATCTGTTCCTATTCTTTGATCCAATACATGGTGTGCTGTTATTAGATCGCGACCAATCAAAAGTTCAATATTGACACTCTCATCAATCTCAGGAATACATTTCTCAATATCCTGTAAGTGTGAATATCCTCGTGCAACAGCTTTAGAAGGAATCTCGTTCCTGTTGTCAGGTATCTCATCACATTCAATGAGGCTTGGTAATGTGAGAGTACATGATCCATCTAGTGAGCGCACTACATATCCCGATGCTTTCCGTCCAGATGTAACAGATCTCCCTGTACATGTTGATAGCACATATTCTGTCTCTGGGCCACGTATGTTGAAAGCATCAAAAAATGATGGTGATGCCAAGGATCGGTTGCTTTGGTTATCTATCAGACAGTAAACTGTTCGTTCTCGATAACGTTCTCCCTCTGGAAACACCGACACTAACACAATTTTTGAACAAGATTTAGAAGTGTTTCGGGGTACTTTGCATATTTCTGTGCAACATGCATTCACATCGGGCTGCTCCCCCTCCTGGACTTTCCTAGGTGCAGAGTCTGGATGAAGAATAGTTACATGTTCCGTTGAATTACACCTTTCACACTTGACCGACTCATGACAGTTCTTTTTTAAATGGCGTTTCTGGCCACAACATTTCAGACAATATCCTTTCTTGAAAAGGAAATCAATTCTCTCTTTGTAAGGTTTCTTACAGAGTTTCTGACAATCTCGCAAAGCATGGTTGGAATTTCCTCCATGAATGGGACACCGTACATAGGAAATGTCACTGTCAGTTTCATATTCGAGACGATCTGGTGCTACGGTTGTTTTGCGAACAAATACATCCGACTTTTGTGCCGACTTTTTCTGTGGTGGATGCTGTGTGGTTGTATTCTGAGGTAAGTTCTCCAATATCAAACCAGGGTCATTTCTAAGCCTAGCAAGGTCTCGCAAGAAATTCACCAACACTTGGAAGGGCACATAAGACACTCCATTGTTGACCTTGTATTTGTCACACGTTGTCATCCATTTCTCCCGAAAACGCTTTGGCAATTTTCGAACAAAGTCATTTATTCCAGTTGTGGAGTCAAAATATGCGAAGGCTGATCCGTAGGCTTCATCACTTTTCAAGGATTCAACCTCAGCAGCTAGGTCGTACAGATCAAAGTAACGTTTCCTATCATTCTCCATTAACGGTGTAAAGTTAATGATCCGCTGCTTCATAGCATGTTCAACTGCTTCAGGGCTACCATACTCCAGGTCAAGTCTTTCCCATATTTGAGTGAGAGCCCTCTCTGGATTGCGAGCATTTGTAGTTCTTATATTTTCGCACTGCAGTTTACACCCTTGTCAGAGGTTGTTCAATAAAAGATCTAGTTGCTCCAATGGGATAGAATTGATGTCTTTCATAACATTTAGAAAACTGTGTTTCCAGGTAATATACCGTCCAGGTTCACCACTGAATTTCCAAAGTCTTTGTGGAATCATTTGATTCTTTACTACTGCCTTTGCAAGATCGAATACAGTGTCCTGCTTTGTGTTAGTCTGTTGCAAAACCTGGGGAACAACGGAAATCAATGAGTTCTGTATAGGTTCAGACACTTTAATATCATGCGCATCTACAATTGCAGGGGAAGGTATTTCATTCAGCACTGGATCAGGTGGAGGAGCGTTCATTCTCATATTTTCATTCAAATATCGCTCCATCAAATGTTCTTTATTGGGATCTTGATATTCACCAAAAACACTTTCACCAACATCTGAAAATTCCAGAACCTTTCTCACGGCTTCTAGTCCTAGAGTTGCCGCTTCCAGTTCTTTCTTACGTGCTAACACAGTTCTGCTGGCCTTGATGGCAGCCTCCTGTCTGATCAAATCTGCTTCTTCTTCTGCGCACGGGCCTGCTCGACTTTTGCAGTGTGATGTAATAGTGTTTCTGTTAGTTTAGAACTCACTCGAGATGCTGATTCATCAAACTGTTTCTTGCCCACACTGCTCATGATTCTTTGTGTCCTGAGACCTTGATCCATACAAACAGTCAGCCGAATAAACAGGATTTTTTACTGTAATGTTTCCAGATTTTATTTTTATTGGAACTGACACTCCGCCTCGTGAAGAGGGTAAAAAACTACAAACAATTTAAAAAAGAATCATAAATATTTGACATACATATCATCTAGATTTACCAAAAAAACATAATAATTGACATTGACAATAATTTCTCGTACATGACTATAGATAAACAGACTGACATTTTGCTACAAATAATCCAGACATGTGAATTTAACAGTATCATAGGTATAATACAATTCAAATTTGTCCTAAACATTATTTTTCATGAAATTTTATGCATTTATATAATTACTTACTCCTGTGAGGCTAGGAAAAGACCAAGCACATGTTAAAATGCTGCTCCATTGACTTGGGCAGAAACATAAACAAAACACATAGTAATCAAACCTGTACCGGGAAAATTTCCGGATAGGAATTTTACATCCATAATATTTAATTACTGAACATCAGAATCACAAATCATACATGAAGTGGTAACAGGTACATATGGTAAATAAATATAAGTTATGAAAATGATTTGCCCTCTAGCACCGCCAGTTAGCCTGCATTTTATAAAGGTATGCAGCTTAACCAAAATAACGTATGAATAAAATAATGTTTTAGAGCTTCTCCAAATATGTAAACGTTGAAACATTATTTGTTTTGTGTTATATTGACCAAAAACAATACTGCCCTTAATTGACGGGAATGCACAATCGCTGCATTCCTCAAGAACTTCTCCAATGCATGGGCAAAAGCAGTTCCCGTGTTTCAAATTCTTCATAGAGGGTTGTCGAAGTGAAAAGCAACCCTTGCAGTGTTTAACGAGTTCTGCCAAAAAAACCTTCTGTGCCTCCACCGAAATAGTTTCCACGGCATAAATTACAGGAACCGATGACTCTCCCTAAGAAGCTGACCAATAATTAATCTTAGGCCACATGTACGCAGGTCCCCTTTTGCACAAACATTTTTTTTTTCAACGCACTACCAGGCTAACAAAAATGGCGCAACAAAATCAAGGATTTTGATTGGGCTGCAGACTGCGCAGGGATATGCGGAATTATCCTAAGGTGTAAAATATGATATCTTTCTCATAGCGGCATAAATTGAATTATCTGTGATAATATTGTTTAATTATCAAATTGTTTCAAGAGTGAAGAATTCTAATTAGCTAAATGCATAAGATTGAGACGTCGCCGTTGTTTTACGAAGAACTAATATAATTCTCTGTAATCACATCTGGACGTCAATTTTGTTTCCAATGATATGTTAAAAAGTTCTCAGGGAAATGAACTTTTAGTTGATCACGTGATCAAATCCTGTGAAGCCCGAAGGGCGTCTCAGTAGGTGATTTGACCATGAACCAACTTAAAGTTCATTTCCCAGAGAACATTTTAGTATTGTTTTTTATTACTTATATTTACATTTGAGACGGATAAGTTTCGAGAAAAACAGCATTAATTACTCGAACGCGCCACCGAATAGCTATGTTATGACGCGCAATGACCTAAAAGTTGTTTGGTCTTGAAAGTTCGAATCCTTGAATGTATAGTACGGACCTTGAGTTTTCCGCAAAAAACATGGGGTCCCGTGGACCGTAAGTCCACGCTTTAGCGTGGACCTCGAACTATGTCGGCGTCTTAGAAGTCAGCGTTTCTGTGCACCGTGTAACACGGTGTGTCACAGTTCTGATGACAAATATTTTAAACATTTTCATTGCCCTTATTTAATTGGTAACTTATCGCATACAGATAGTTAAACTAATATTTTTTTTTTTGAATTTTCGTTTAAACATTATAGAGCCATGAACATTATTTATGCAACAAAATTTTTCCCTTACTTCGAAGCTTACTTGTTGATGTTTATAATGAGCTCAAGAAGTAATGGAAACCCAGTCAAATTATGTCAAATGACGCATTAAATGTTGAGCAAAATGTATCGTCTCGTTATTATTGGAAATATGCCTTTTTGTACGGAAATGAATTAAAACTTCTCTTTATAATAAATATACCTCATCAGTTTTTTAATTTTTTTTATTTGCACAGAAATCCCTTTTACGCTCACCTGAGCTGAAGGTTCAAGTGAGCTTTTTCTGATCGAAATTTGTCCGTAGTCTGTCGTTGTAGTTGTTGTCGTTTTCGTTGTTAACTTTCATATTTTTATCTTCTTCTTAAGAACCACTGGAGCAATTTCAAACAAACCTGCCACAAAGTATCCTTCGGTGAAGGGGATTCAGGTTTGAACAAATGAAGGGAAGAGGAGATAATAATGAATTCGTGAAAAATCAATGGCATCTTTTAAAACTCATCTTCTCAAGCATGACTGTGCCAGGAAACCTGAAACTCATGTGGATTCATCCTCAGGTAGCGAAAAATTTAGTTCGTTAAAATCAGGAACCCCTGGGTTTGGGTGGGACCACAATGGGGTATAAAATTCAACATAAGAATACATTAGATTTTTTTTTTTAAATATCTTTCTCTAGATCTACTGGACAAGGAAATTGAAACTCATGCAGAAGAATCTTCTTAAAGGGAAGATGTAATTTTGTTCAAAACATGATCGCTTGAGAAGGGGTGTGGCCACAATGGGTGATTAAGGTTTTACATAGGAATGTATGGTAAAAATCGTTAAAATCCTTTACAAAGCCATCATGATGCTTGATCATCAATTTGAAAGCATAAAAAAGGTAATGTAGATTTGAAATTCATTGGAATAGAGGTGCCATAAACTGGACAAATGAATACAAAGGCCATATCAATAAAATATCATCTAATAAACAACAAAACCATAATTTGTCACAAAAGCATTCTAAGGACGTGTAAATTTTATTTCTTAAATACCCTTTTCCCCAGAACCCATTTTATAATATATTTAAACTTTTCAATACTGACCTAATTCATGCTTTCACCTAACCAGTTGTTCAGGTGAGTGATGTGGTCCTCGGGCCTCTTGTTTATATCCTTATTCGTGTTTTAAATATATAAACTTAAGTTCATTCCGTCATCTAAATCTTAAAAATAAATTGCTTGAGTTTCGAACAAAGACAGGGAAAGAAACTTATATATTAAACAAGTTAAATGGCTTCCCTGGGATTGGTTTTAGTTCTGTTACCTATTGTAGCTATCCATGGATCTGGTAAGTTTTCATTTTAATCAAAAATAATTTTTTTTAAATGATTTTCATATAAAAGTAGATTGATTTATAAAATGAAAGAAAGATATTTTTTTTTTAGTTTTTTTTTCCAGATTTAAGGTTCATTATTCCTCTGATAAGAGAGATACCTCTAACGGGTATAAATTGCTGTTATTTCTTTTTAAAAGCGTCAAGTTTACAGGTCATTTTTGTCAAAATTTGCCCCTGAAGGTATGCTGAAATTGTAAGCATTTTGATCATGAATAAGATTTCTTTTGGAAAAACATTACCATTTTTTATTTTTTTTTTATATTAGTAAGCAGAGTGATTACGAACCTTAATTGGTTATATTGTATTTATTAAGGCTTATATTTTTATGTGTTTTGAATTTCAATTTATATACATATTTTAATAATTCTATTATGGTGTATAAAATTTTTATTCACCTTAGCAAGAGCCGTAAAGGTCAAATTTGTTTTAACTAATATGTATATTCTGAAAAAATAGGATATATCTTTTCGAAATTTAGCTGTTAAAATTTACAATATACTCTTTTCTTATATAATTCAGACAGCCGACATGAAGCATAAAATATATTTATGCAGCAAGTTTGCAGGAAACATTGCATGATTTGAATGTTTGCAGGAAGTTCGCAAGAACAGTAAACAAGTCAAATCAGCCAATGAAATTCAGATTGTACTGGGTCAACACAGAACTGGCCATTTTGAAATGTTTGAATTGAAGTTGTACATGTTTCAGTATTTTGTTAGAAATACATACCGTTTTGAATGATCAAAAGTGCAAAACTATGGATGTAGGTGTTCATTGGCATCCGTGAATATCTAATCGGTAAGATCTGATGTTATTTAATTTTGATGTAAAAAAAATCTTAAAAGCAGTTGTTTAAGTAACTGGTGTAACTCTAGGTCAAATCTAAATCTATTTATTATGAATTCAGTCCTCATTATAATATCAAATATGTATACTTCTTATATATAATAATGGATCCAAATCAGTTAATATATGTTTTCAAATGAATTAGTAACTGTTATCATGATAATATTTAATTAAAAATATATGTAAAGTTCTTAATGTTCTGTTCATATAAAAAGCTATATAGCACATAGATTTAAAAAAGTTTGGAAACTTTGTCTAGAAACATAAAGAGAGCCTATATCAATACTTCATAGAATTGCATCATTTCAGAAACATGTGGTGGATTTTCTCTAAAATTAACAGATTTAGGTCAGGACAGAAGCTTTCTGCGAACTTGCTGCTTGTTCACAGGAGTGTGCCATAAGGAAATTGTTTGCTGCAAGTTAGCAGCAATGTTTGCCGCAAGCTTGCAGCAATGTTTGCCGCAGGTTTGCAGCAATGTTTGCCGCAAGCTTGCAGCAAGGTTTCCATATATGGAAAATCCAGTGTTTGCTGCAGACTTGCAGCAAACCTCATTTACATGGTAAAACGTTTGCTGCAAGGTTGCTTCAGACTTGCCGCAAACTTGTAGCAAACACCAAGGCTTTGTATTGACTGTCAAGCTTTCTTGAGATACATTGCCGCAAGCTTTCAGCAATGTCTGCTGCAAGTTTGCAGCAATGTTTGCTGCAGACGTGCAGCAAATATTTGCAGGAAGGCAATATTTTCGGTACGGGTTGTTGGAGATCTCACAGTACTGATACGGCGATCATACTACGTTTCTAGTGCATTTGAATCAGACCGCAATCACACAGCGCGTACATTCCTTGCTCGCTCAAAGCGATCACCGTCACCCGGCGTTCTAGGAGACCCTACCGCGTTCAGTGCAGTTCTCGCTGAGTTGTAACAGCGTTGTAGGAGACTCTACTGCGCTCAGCTCGACGTTTTTCTTTATTTCATCGTAAGGACGCCGTGCGTTTGCCGTTAGGACGGCAGCTCCGGTGTGACAGGGGTTTTAAGATCTGGCCTGGGGGCCATATAACTTAGACGAGCCCACTTTTGGTCTCAGTCCCACTTAGTAAAGGAATAAAGAAATATATAAAGGAATATATAGTCGAAAAGTAAGACCGAGATCAAAGGTGACCTCGTATACGTTTTATGGCCTCCAGGCCAGTTGGTTCTCTAGAATGGTCTCTTAAGCAAGGTTAAAGAGTAAGCAAGGCTAGCAAGCGTTTAATTACAAGTAAGTAGGGATCTACCGTCACGGCGTAGTGGGCAGCGGACGTGTTTTCGCTGTCCTCCGATCGACTTGACATTTTTCGCTAAAAAAGCGTTTATTTTCTTTCTACGACTGTTTGGAAAGAAATATATTGTGTGTTTAGTGTATATAAAGTGTGATTCTTTGTGCATTTACTGCACGTTTGGGATTTAAAATACCCTGAGAGAGCGAATATACCCGGTGTTTACCTGGTGAGTACCTACTCAGGTGTGATATTGACTCACGAGCAGAAGTCTATCTATACTTTGTATGCATGTGTTATAACTCAATACATTCTATATCGAATATTTGAAAAATGGATCAAATGCTGAAACCAGTATACTTGAAGAACAACGAGCTTCTATCTGAAAGCGATGATGAACGAATCACGAATTTTGAGATGCTTCAAGCTGTTACTTCGTGCGTCGGTGATGCGGTGAAATGCATCCAATTAGACCGCGATTTGTGGCGAATATATCTGACCAATGCCCACAGCAGAAGTAAAATTCTACTGGAAGGTTTCGATTTTAAAAATCAACACATATCTCCGTACGACACAAATCCATACTCCGCCGGCCTGGAAGGTCCAAGAGATCAAGCTTTAAAAGTAACAATTTGCGGCGTTCCCCTATCCGTGGACGACTCAGCGATACACGAGATGTTAACTAAACTAGGGGTTTCTCCGAAAAGCGATCTTAAGTATGAAAAGATCCGTAACCCGACCAACAACAAAATGACCAACGTCCTAAATGGGAACCGGTTCATCTACATCGATCCTCCATCAAAGGGACCACTTCCCCGATTCTCTTACTGCGCGGGCCTAAAATGCAAAATATTTCATAGAGGCCAAAATGTTGACAAACCCGCGGTAACATGTACCAAATGCTGGGAAGCTGGGCACTCAGCGCGCAACTGCACAAACGACCGCAGATGTGCCGCTTGCAAAAACACCGGGCATGACCCAGGAGATGAGTGTTGTCCCGAGTATGTTACTGGCAACCCCAAAAATGTGGAAACATTCAGCGGCGAAAAGAACATCCTATCCAACTTCTATTCCTGTAAATTAGACATCTATGGCGAATCCTTTACATCTGCAGAACAAGCCTTCCAACTCACCAAGGCCATTCGTGCCGGCAATCTGATCGCTGCAGAAAAAATCCGGGAAGCTAAAACCGCTCTGGATTGTAAATTCATTGGCAAATCCGTTTCCGAGTCACCACAGTGGCGACAAGATGCTGAATCAGTGATGGAGGAAATCATCGGTGCCAAGGTAGCCCAGTTAAAGGATATGAAGGATCTCCTTATATCATCAAAACCAAATGTCATCTTTGCTCATTCGGTTTACGACCGCTACTGGGGAACCGGGTTAGACGCGGAGAAAACCCTGTGCACAAACCCAGATGCCTGGCCTGGTAAAAATGTGATGGGCAAAATCATTCAGCGAATTGCAGATAAATGCAGACATAGACCACGCGCGGCGTCCCAACCAAGGCCCCAGCGCAAGGCCAAGCAGCAAGGAATTGACAGCTACTTAGGGTAAAATGTTTACTGTAAAATTTAGAAACTCTCCATTTCCTTTTTTTTCCCTCTCACTTTGTAAAGCAATATTTTTCCTTTTGTCACAATGTCTACCTTAAAATGTCTGTCGTTAAACTGTAGGGGGTTGAATGATTATAACAAAAGATGTATTTTGTATGAGTGGTTAAAAAACGTTGACTGCGACATAGCATTTTTGCAAGAAACTCATTTTGTATCAGAAAAGGAGACGCAGTACAATGCAAGATGGCTAGGGTCTTCTTATCATTGTTTTTCTAATTCCCCCCACAGTAGGGGCGTTACAATATTGTTTGAAAAAGAATTCTCATTTAAGTTTATAAATCAACACAGATCTAATGACGGTCGCTTCATATTGTTAAATATTGAACACGATAACAAAAATATAACCCTTATCAATATATATGCGCCAAACACTGAAAATTTAAGGTCTGATTTTTTCAAAAAGGTTTCTAAATGGATATCGCAATATAGTTTAAATGAAGAAAACGTAATTTTTGTTGGCGATCTCAATTGTGATTCAAACAACAAGAGAGACAAAAGCGCAAAAATATTGCAAGATACAATTTCTAAGTTTTCATTTCTTGATCTCTGGTTAAATTTAAATCACCAGAAAAATGGTAATACTTGGTGTGACGGGCAAAACGTACCTAAAAGTAGAATTGATTACGTATTTTTCACTGACAACTTCTGCCACAAACCTTTAAATTTCTTTCTACGAAAACCGCCAAATGTTTCTAAGTCAAGATTAAGCGATCATCTTGCTCTCGTTTTTAAATGTGAAATTTCTGGAAATACACGCGGAAAAGGTTATTGGAAGTTAAACACATCGATCTTAAAAGAATCGGCGTATTGTGATTTAATCAACAATTTTTTCGCTGACCTACCCGAAGAAATTAGAAATAACAGCAATTGTAAAACTAAATGGGAACTAATTAAGTTTAAAATCAAGAAACTTAGTATTGACTACTGTAAAAACAGAAACAAAACTCAAAGGGAAAAAATACAAAAGATCGGAAATGAAATTGAACAAATGGAAAATAAGCACTTTACAGAAATAGATATGATACGAAAAAAAGATCTCGAAAATCAACTTGATAATTATTATGAAAACAAGGCAAAAGGAGCACAAATTCGATCAAGAGCAAGATGGATAGATGAGGGTGAAAAGAATACAGCATACTTTTTAAGACTCGAAAATAAACATCAATCACATAACGTTATAAACAGAATCAGAGTCAATGAAAAAATCCTTACCAAGACCGACGATATACTTAATCAACTATGTTTATTTTATGAAAACTTGTATTCATCTCAGAAAATTACAGCTGAAAGAATAAATAATTACCTACGCGATATTGAAATACAAACTAAGCTTACTGATGACGAGAAAGATTTCTTTGACAAATTTCCTACATTAAAAGAATGTTCCGAGGCAGTATTTGAAATGAAAAACAACAAATCCCCTGGACTCGACGGCTTACCGGTTGAGTTTTACAAAATGTTTTGGAAACATTTAAAACAATACATGTATGATGCGCTTATTAAATCTTACGAAGAACAAGAATTAACAAATACACAAAAATGTTCCGTTTTGTCTTTAATTCACAAGAAAGTTGATCTTGATAAACCTCAAAATTACCGTCCCATAAGTTTAACAAATTGCGATTACAAAATTATAGCCTGCGTCTTCTCTCGGCGTTTAAAAAAATTTATAAATAAATTAATTAACCCGGATCAGTCTGGGTATTTAAAAGGACTATATATAGGTAGTAATGCAAGACTTATTTTAGATATCTTTGAATACTGGGAAAGAAACAACGAATCGGGTATACTGTTATTTGCTGACTTTCAGAAAGCGTTTGACTCAGTTGAGTGGGAATTTCTGATTCAATCAATGAAGAAGTTTAACTTCGGTGACAACTTTGTCAGATGGATCAAAGTCTTATATACAAACCCTTACTTTCACATAAAAAATAATGGCTGGATTTCTAGAAAATGTCAGATGAATAGAGGTATCAGACAGGGATGTCCTGTCTCAGCTATATTATTTCTATTTGTAATGGAAATCTTATCTATAAAGGTAAATAAATCAGATAATGTTCAAGGTTTTAAAATATGTAATACGCAAAAGGAAATAAAATGCATACAGCATGCGGATGATAGTACTTTTCCAGTCAAAGATGAAGAATCTCTTAAACATGTAATTAAAATCATTGAAGATTTCGGGTCAATTTCCGGCACAAAGTTGAACTTATCAAAAACAGAATGTATTCTATTGGGAGATCTTAAAGAAGACATGGAAGGGGAGACATCTCTACATGGTGTCAGAATTAACTCTAAAACAATAAAATGCCTCGGCATATACATCGGGCATGACGAAGCAGAAAGAAATGAGAAAAACTGGCTATGCAAATTAAGAGAATTTGAAAAAATACTTGACTCTTGGCGAAGCAGAAAATTAACTATTTTTGGAAAATGTCAGATTATAAATTCTCTATTAATTTCAAAAATATTATACACTGCTTCCATATTAGAGAATCCAGAGCAATCTTTCATCAAAAGTCTAAACAAAATAATAATCTCCTTCATTTGGGGCAACCGCGAAAGAATAAAACGCAAAACCTTAATTAGAAGCATAAACGAAGGCGGAATCGGTATCACTGACTTTGAGTCTAAAGTCAAAGCTATTAAAGCCTCATGGGTTACAAAGATTACAAAAGATAAAAGCAGTCTACTCTCTCTCGTAAATGCCGTTTTATACAAAAATAATATAGATTTTGCGTTTTTAACAAATTCAAGTGTAACAAATTACAATGATCTCATACTAAACTCCCTTCCTGAGTTTTATAAAGAGGTTGTCTTGGCTTTTAATGAATGTAAGGATAATACTTTTACAAATCTTGCAAATCAGAATATTTGGCTTAATAAAAACATTTGCTTTAAAGGTAAACCACTATTCTTTCCGAATTGGACCAAAGGGGGTCTTTTGTTAGTAAAAGACCTCTTTAATGACAATGGTTTCAAAACTGTAAATGAAATTAAAGAAAAATTAGCATCCACTAATAATTTCCTTTGTGAATATCTAATGGTAAAGACCGCCTTAAAGAAACACTATTCACGCATAAACATGCAAACTATAAACTTCGTAAACACAAACGCTAATCAACAATTCTATTTTGACGGAAAATTTGAAGATATTTCTAATAAAAAATCTTGTTTTTTCTACAACATTTTAACAAAAAAGAAATCGCACAAGCCAATCATGGAAAATATCTGGTGTAGAGAATTCCAAATAGATAAGAGTCATTTCGATACTATATATAAAAATAAAGTTCGCTCATTATTTGATAAATCTGTATCAGAATTTAGTTATAAGCTACTACATAATCTGTTGACTACTAATCTATCCGTTAGTAAGTGGGATAAAAACAACAGTGGCAACTGTGATTTCTGCGATATACAAGAAAATATCAAACATTTGATTTTCGAATGTGACTTGAT